TAGTACATCATTAAAAACTTTAAAAGAACCCCCAAGGTCAAAAGTTTAAAAGTTGGGATTGAGTTTCGTAGACGATAGATCTACTTATGAAATAAGAAATTTAATAGTAGATTTAGTATTCGTAGTAAATTTTTAGCTCACAAATCTGATTTCATTTATATTTATGAAATTCAGTTGTTTAAAATGTTTCAGTAGTATCATTAATTGAATTCTTTGGCCTGGAAATCCAATGTATTGTTGGTACTGCACCTGGTATTAATTTCAATTTTGTTCAAATCCCACTTCCACAGTAATGAAGTTGCTGAAACAGCTTCTCTCAAAATGGTTTGAGCAAAAACAGGAATTAGCTAATGCCTTTGTAAAATATTTGCTCTTCAGGCGAATAAATTTTTCCCATTTTCCCTTTAAAACTTCATCTCTTGGAAACAAATGAAAAGAGACACTAATTTCTGTATCAACATACTTGCTGATTTTATCTTTGTGATTGGAACTACAGCAACAAGCTGAAGAACATTATTTCATTTTCTTCAAGTAGAAATAGAGGTTTAGATCTAGAATATTATTTATAAACAATGATCGATTATAAATCAACATGGAGACTAGATCTAGCTGTGAAGCTATAAATCAACATGGAGACTAGATCTAGCTGTGAAGCGTAACAATAAATGCGATCTGATAGATCTAGATCTAGAGAGTTTATCGGTTATATAGGTCTAGATCTAAATTTAGCCAACGCAGTTGTGACGTCACGTCTTTTAAAACTATAAACATCTCACAGAACCCCGTTTTTTTTTTAGATGTGAAGAATTTTCTGTCTAATTTATTAAATATAAAATTTTCTGAGCATTTAAATAAAAAATGATATAATGTTTACTATTACAACTTTTTGCGCAGAATTTAAGAATGTCAATGACTAAAATTTGAAAAACTATCGGAGTTTCCCTTTAAGTTAACTTAGACTTATCAGAGACAGAGTTATTCCAATATTTGCCAATAAGTTTCAATAACCACTTTAAAATTTTATTCAATCAGTCATGATCAGTGATGACTCAAGTTTCAGTGTATAAAAACTGTATTGTTTGTTTCAGTTTGTAGATATAGTACTAGCTACTACTGAGTAGTATAGACTATAGTAAAGTATAGATTTGGCCTATTATTATTAATTATTTTAAATAATCATTAGTCATAAGGTTCTATTCTAGATCTAGATTATATTCTGTATGTTATAAAATTATTATACTGGCAAAGAGGAAAGAAGCTGGCAGCTGATGGCCTCTGAAAGAGACAGTTGGTGAGCTCTCATAAAGGCTGCAGGTCACACTGTTGAGACCCAAAGAAAAGCCCTTGTAACTTGTTCAAAACAGTCGCAGAAGACGAAAAGAAAACTTAATTATATTATACCGCTGGTGAACAACAGAGATGTGGACAAATATGCAGATCCCAACTGGTTTTGCATAGTCAAGTGAGACACACACATCCTTTTCTTTGGAATCAAAGTCATTACTATTCATATATTTGCTTGAATAGTAGCTATACTGCTATAGTATAGCCAATGATAAATCACACCTGACTAGATCTAGATCTTGGTCTAACTAGGTCTAAATCTAGAACTGTTACTGTATGATATAATATATGAGTATGTACTAATGGTAGCTAATGATTTAGTATGTTTATTATGTCGTAGAGAATAAACTGACTCAACTATAACTGTACTTGTGCAAAGTAATGTACAGTGTAAACTTTAGTGTAGCGTAGGTGACTAGATCTAGGTTTTACATACTTAACATAGTTTGACGGATGATAGACTTAACACACAGACACAAATATATATAAAGAGAGAAACACACACACACACTGGGTCCAATGGGGCACTTGCGCCCTTTTTTAAAACTCAGGCACCTGGACTCTTTCCAGAAGTAGTCCTTTTCAATATTAAACCTGTTGGTGAGACATATCCTTCTTTTTCCTCGTTCTCATTATTATGTTGGAGCATTCATATGACTGACCAATATATGATATGAACTGTGCAATGGTTTCCAAATTAGGGAGCTCTCCATTTATACTCTTTTACAGACCAACACACCATCCATTTCAACCAACTTAAGAGGGTGAACTACCTCATGACAAAGAATAGCCAATAAATGTCACCAGACTTTGTGAATAGCAAACAATTCAAAACAAAAATATAAGGCTCTCTTGCCCTGTACAATGTTTACAAGTAGTAGAGAAAATACTTAACAGAGTAGGGAGAAAGCAAAAGACACTTGTCCAAACTCCTTGTGACAATATATCATTTATGACTGACTTGACCAATATTTTGATATTAATAAATAAAATAGTACTTGTTCATAATTGACAGATATATGGGCCAGATGGTAAAATCATTCATTCCGGTGACAGGGAATCCAATGGTAAATATACTTTTGCTGCCCACATGGATGGTAACTACAAATACTGCTTCAGTAATGCCATGTCCACAATGACTCCCAAAATTGTGGTATTCTCTATTGACATTGGAGAGAAGCCCAAAGATGCTGCTGGAGAAGAGGGTGATGGTAGGTATTTCTAATGTAATTTCTAAAGAGCAATCTTAGAATTTTACTTTCTGTTTCTATGAAGTTTTAAAATTGACTTTCTTGCAAAAAAGCATGATTAAATAAAGTTGCTGTTTTTTTTTTTGTTTTGTTTTTTTACAAAATTGTGTTTTAAAATACTATCATTATATTATTAGGTTTATGTTTGTAATTTATAAATATGGTAATTTTACTGTGAAGGCTTGCCAAGGCACCAAAACTAACTTTGATAGATAACTGTGTATGAGACATTCATTGTAAAAAATGTATTTGCTTACAAGAAGCAATATCATTTTTATAAAACCCTCTTGTTCCTTTCTGTAGACATGAAACAAATAGAAAATATTTTCCTGTGTGTTTTTTTACTGCCTTTAATTTGTATAAGTCATCTCTCTTTAGCTAATCAGAACAAACTGACAGAGATGATAAATGAGCTCTCTACTGCCTTGACTGGGGTGAAACATGAACAAGAGTATATGGAAGTCAGAGAGAGGATTCATAGATCAAGTGAGTAGACAATTAGATGAGTGCTGTTCTTACAGAACTTCCTTCTACTATTTTTTTAAATATTATAAAGCCTAAGAACTTGTAAAAGCATTGAATCGCTTTGTATTAATATTGAGTTAATAGAGGACATTTATATGTTGGTTGGTTATTCACCCAAGCTTATATTGACAAGAAGTTAAAGAAATATTGACATTCTGCAGTAAATGAATAAACTTTTTTTTTTGTCTTCTGATGTTTTTAAATGTAATCAGCCGTTGCTTTCCTTCCATCTTATTCAATCTCATCTGAAACCCTGGTATGTAGTCTTGCATACTTTGTCATACAACACATTACTAAAGTTTTCTCTCTCTCTCTCTCTCTCTCTAGTGACCTTTGTATTGTGCTCCTTACCATATGTTCTACTTTGATAATAAAATTCTCTACCTTCTCCTTTCAACCTATTAAAATAAACCTCCTAAGTTCATAACACTCAGTGGTCTACCAGACCAGATTTAAAATTTGATATTTTCAATAGTATCATCACACAGCACATCCTATTTCAAAAATTCAGATTTAAGTTTTAAAGCCCCTGTTGTTTTTGCTGTAATTGATTTGGCACAACTGTTATGGTTGAAATTTTGAAGTTCACAAAAGCAAATAGCACTATAATAGTTAAGAGATTACACTTTGTTTCTTTAGATCTGGTTTTTAGTTTTTATTATGGAAAAACTTAAACATAGTTAACAGTTGAATAACTAATCCAGTAATGATGATGATACATATGGACTATTTCTCTTTAATTTTCAGTTAATGACAACACTAATTCCAGAGTAGTTTTATGGTCCTTTTTTGAAGCTCTGGTTTTGGTAGCAATGACCCTAGGACAAGTGTACTATCTGAAGAGATTTTTTGAAGTGCGGCGTGTTGTTTAAACTTTTGTGTTGCTTTGTATATGTATTTAGGAACTGTTATCATTAGGCATTTGTTTAAAAAAAAAGGGACAAATGAAGAACATTATTAGCTTGAAAATATCATTTACTTGTGCACTAAAATACAATTCCAGATTGTATTATTTTTGTTTATTCTTATTTTGGCATTTATTAAAAGGATGTTAAAAATGCTCATCAACCCTTTACTGGTCTAAGTGCAAAAAGATTACAAAATACAAAATAATCTGTGGTTCTTGTGATGACCAACGGGCCAGTAAAGGGTTAAATAGTAAATTGCCAAATAATAGAAATGATCAATGCAAATTATGATTTAGTACATTTTATATGATGTGTGCTCCAATAGCCAACTCTTAAAAATTATAATTAATTTGATAGTAACCCTCACATTTATGGTATCAAGGAAATGAATCAGCAGCAAGTCTTTAAACTTCTTGACCTTGAAAACAGTAATAGTCATACTGTATTTTAGTAATCTTACACCTATGCTATGTTTGAGATGGGTTTGAATAATAATTATTATTATTTATTTTTTTATCTCATTTCTTGTTACTTACATTTATACATTTCATGTTTGACTTTTTTGTTTCTCTTTTTTTCTCTTGTGTATGAAGAGCATGAAGAACATTTGTTTCCCATTGACTGGATGACAATCTTGAATTTTTGTTTCTGGTAGTGGTGTGTCTTCATGAGTAAATGTTTGGCTTGGGGACAGCGCATTTTGAATTATGAATACCTGATGCAAATCTATAATTTTTTTATCTTTAGTGAATGTTGATTAGACAATTGTCAAAAAATTTGCCCACATTTGATTGGTGTGTGTGAAACAGGATACTTGTGTGTGTGTGTGCATGCTTATTTATATTCCTTTCCAATTTTATATTAGGGGTACTAGTTTTTATTTTAAATTAAAGGCTAGAATGACTTGAAGGCATTAGCCCAATCCCAGAGAAAAATCTCATGCTCCACCTTTGTATGAGTAAAATTTGCTTTTTTTTTTTTTTTTTTTTTTTTTTTTTTTTAAATAAACAATTTCATTTGAAGATTAATTTTGTAGAGTTGCTTTTTTCTTTTTATGTGGCACCACAATCTGACAGTTTATGCGTTATTTTTTTGTCTTAGGTAATATTTTTTTTAGCTTTTTTTTTAAAAATAATATTCCAATCTCGCTGTTGTAGTGAGACGATCATAGTCTTAATTTCAAAACTAAACCAAAATAAATTGAACATTGGCTAGAATGTTATAGACTTTAAATATTTTCTGTTTATATCTGTGTATTTCTAAGCTTACACACCATTTTTTGAGTTTGAACTTTGCTAATAGTTACTAACATTTGTCCTACCTGTCTTTGTTGTTCTTTTTTTATTTATTTAAGTAGTATTTACTCTCCGCATAGTTGGTTAGCCATGTTTTTGTGTTTTTATTCTGCCATTTTGTGTGATTTGAATGAGTCTTGTTATATTTATATATATAAATATTGTTCATTCTTTGAGGCTGTATGTTTGATATTTTAAGTTGTAAACACATTCTTGACTAGTTTGTTATTTATCAATCTTTAACGCCTTGTCTAGGTTTTTTTTTTTTTTTTTTCATCCAAAATAAAACTGAAGGAAAATGATTGATGTTATTTCTTCTTTGGTACAATCCCTTTTACAGGAACACTCAGAAACATCTTGCCATTTTTGACAACTTGCCTTTCAGTTTTCAAATTTCAAAGAAATGGTGGCTGCAACATCATGTGGAATGCCTTTCAGAGTGTCATCATTATAGTCCCTATTTTAAGCCCTGCCCAGTGCCATCATCTCATGTACCGTAGAAGGTTTAAAATGAGTACATAATTGTCTTACATTTCTGAAGGAAGGTCTAAAACATAAAAAACAAAACAGTCAGACCCTTTTTTTTTTTTTTTTTTTTCTTCAAATTTTTGTCCGTAATGCCAGGTACTAGTAATAACTACCAAGTCTATATTTTCTTTATATAAAAAACATCAAACATTCACTTTTTTATATCAGGATATATTTAATTTCAAAAGTTTTTTTGAGTTGTTTTTTTTTTTTTTTTTTTACTCATTTAAAAAATAATTACTCATAAGGTGACCACACTAATGTAGAATGCATATTGGAATAAATTGAAAACTGCTGTAACATTAGATTATTAATCAACAATAAAAATTCAAACTGATTAATATTTCTTATATGATGTAGCACTAATCACAGTAAATAAGTTTCTATATCATCACTTTATCTTTGACACCCTCGCTAAAAGAAATATACTTCCACTTTAAACAAAAATTTCAATATAATATCAACAGCTCACAAGAGATACACCTAACACAGACACACCATCAGTTTACACATATACATCTATCACTAAATAATTTAAAAGACCCACAGCATATCTATGACTCTTCTATTTTATCTAGCCATGTAGGAAATGGATGACCTATATTGTTCAATAATGTCTTGAGATTTAGGTTGTGGTCTCTGTAATAGGAGGTGAGAAAACTTCTTGACACTGGGTCCATTGGGGCGTACTTGCGCCCTTTGTTAGAACTCAGGCACCCGGACTCTTTTAGGCAGAAGTATCCCTTGTCGACATTAAACCTGTTGTGGTGAGACATATGCCGAATCATTAGTTCCGATACGTATAATCTCATAGTATATATATATATATATAGCCTTTATGCATTTATAAAGTTCAGCAGAACGAATAACTAAAGATAGGCTTACCCCCCCCCCCCCCCCCACTTAAAAAAAAAACTTAAGGTAATCAGACTATAACACGTCAACACATATCAAAGGAATGGCTGCCTAGTCTTGTGCTAGGTCTTTTTTTTTTCGACCATTGTGGCGATGATTCCGAGTTCGAATCCGTCCCGTTTCCTCCCACCCACCCCCATCCTGTATAAAGTTTGGACATTTGGATTTTCTGAAATTTGGACACTTGGCTTTTCTGAAGTTTGGACACTTGGCTTTTCTGAAGTTTGGACACTTGGCTTTTCTGAAGTTTGAAACTTAAACAACCAAGTAAACAAGAAAAACAACAAATACTTTTTAAAAAAAATAAAGATTCTACAAAGTGTAGCTGTATCAATGAGTTTGGATCAGTCATGTCATTAAGTTTGTACTAGATCTGTAGATCTGGACCTACAACAATAGACTTGTTCGATTAGAAATAGTTTTATCAATTGTTTTTGTTGAGCGCTATGTCATGCTTTTAGCTTTCTCAATACGCTATGATCCGATCTCATCTGGACCAGTCAGGAAAATGGGTGGAGGGGGGGGGAGAAAGAAAGGGATATAAGAGATTGGGTGTTGGAAAAATAACATGTAAACATTTGTTAGCAGACAGACAGAGTTGATATAAACTTGGTATTTTAAAAAAAAGGTAATTGTGCCATAGAATAAGTAGTGCAAGTGTTTTGTTTTGTTTTTCAACACAGGCTAAACAAAATAAATAACAAAATAGATTGCATTACTCTAAGATAGTGCTGTAGTCAATGACAGGCTCCACATCCACAAACATCTGTAGATCCCTTAACACTGTCACTGGATCATTGTCGAGTCTGTCTGAATCTATCAATAAGATCTGCAGCCATTAAAGAAATGAAGGATTTTAAAATCGAGTGCACGTAGATCTATTTATATCGGTGTTAATTAAATTGGATAATTAAAATTGTTCAGGGAACTCAAAAAAAAAAAAAAAAACAGACAAGTATTTTTAAGGGGGTTCTCAAGTGGAAAACATTGAACACTGTGAGGCTAAGACTGAGCGAAATTCATAATTCTTCTCCGTAAGAGGACCATGGTCACATGGATAGGATCTTGATACCGACATCATATGGATTTTGGGATACTTTTTTATTTTTAGGGCCTTCCGGTTGTGGGTGGGACATTCAACTGATCTAAGTAACATTTATGCCAATTTTTATCAAATATGGTCAAATGGTTTTGATTTCTATAAAGAACAAACTTACATACAAACTCCTTATATTCTACTTTATATAGGCCTATTACGTTTAGACTGTACAGTCATATTTCTGATTTAATTCAACAATGTAAACAACTACTGTTCTTACAGAAAAAAAGGCAACTACCTAGGTAACTAAGCTAACCTGTTCTTTAGAGAAATACTGTAGCCACCTAGATAGATGAACTTACCTGTTCTTTGGTAAAATACTGCATTCACCCAAATAGATGAACTAACAGTTCTTTAGGGAAATACTGTAGCCACCTAAATAGACGAACTAACCTGTTCTTTTGATAAATACTTTAGTCACCTAGATAGATGAGCTAACCTGTTCTTTAGGGAAATACAGCAGCCACCTACATAGACGAACTAACCTGTTCTTTAGTGAAATGCTGCAGCCACCTAGATAGATGAACTAACCTGTTCTTTAGGGAAATACTGCAGCCACCTAGATAGACGAACTAACCTGTTCTTTAGGGAAATACTGCAGCCACCTAGATAGATGAACTAACCTGTTCTTTAGGGAAATACTGCAGCCACCTAGATGAACTAACCTGTTCTTTAGGGGAATACTGCAGCCACCTAGATAGATGAACTAACCTGTTCTTTAGGGAAATACTGTAGCCCCCTAAATAGATGAACTAACTGTTCTTTAGGGAAATACTGTAGCCACCTAAATAGACGAACTTACCTTTTCTTTAGGGAAATACTGCAGCCACCTAGATACACGAACTAGAATGTTCTTTAGGGAAATACTGCAGCCACCTAGATAGATGAACTATCCTGTTCTTTAGGGAAATACAGCAGCCACCTATATAGACGAACTAACCTGTTCTTTAGTGAAATACTGCAGCCACCTAGATAGATGAACTAACCTGTTCTTTAGGGAAATACTGCAGCCACCTAGATAGATGAACTAACCTGTTCTTTAGGGAAATACTGCAGCCACCTACATAGACAAACTAACCTGATCTTTAGTGAAATACTGCAGCCACCTAGATAGATGAACTGACATGTTCTTTAGGGAAATACTGCAGCCACCTAGATAGATAAATTAACCTGTTCTTTAGTTAAATACTGCAGCCACCTAAATAGATAAACTAACCTGTTCTTTAGGGAAATACTGCAGCCACCTAGATAGACGAACTAACCTGTTCTTTAGGGAAATACTGCAGCCACCTAGATAGACGAACTAACCTGTTCTTTAGGGAAATACTGCAGCCACCTAGATGAACTAACCTGTTCTTTAAGGGAATACTGCAGCCACCTAGATAGATGAACTAACCTGTTCTTTAGGGAAATACTGTAGCCCCCTAAATAGATGAACTAACTGTTCTTTAGGGAAATACTGTAGCCACCTAAATAGACGAACTTACCTTTTCTTAAGGGAAATACTGCAGCCACCTAGATACACGAACTAGAATGTTCTTTAGGGAAATACTGCAGCCACCTAGATAGATGAACTAACCTGTTCTTTAGGGAAATACTGCAGCCACCTAGATAGACAAACTAATCTGATCTTTAGTGAAATACTGCAGCCACCTAGATAGATGAACTGACATGTTCTTTAGGGAAATACTGCAGCCACCTAGATAGATAAATTAACCTGTTCTTTAGTTAAATACTGCAGCCACCTAAATAGATAAACTAACCTGTTCTTTAGGGAAATACTGCAGCCACCTAGATAGACGAACTAACCTGTTCTTTAGGGAAATACTGCAGCCACCTAGATAGACGAACTAACCTGTTCTTTAGGGAAATACTGCAGCCACCTAGATAGATGAACTAACCTGTTCATTAGATAAATACTGCAGCCACCTAGATAGATGAACTAACCTGTTCTTTAGATAAATACTGCAGCCACCTACATAGACGAACTAACCTGTTCTTTAGTGAAATGCTGCAGCCACCTAGATAGATGAACTAACCTGTTCTTTAGGGAAATACTGCAGCCACCTAGATAGACGAACTAACCTGTTCTTTAGGGAAATACTGCAGCCACCTAGATAGACGAACTAACCTGTTCTTTAGGGAAATACTGCAGCCACCTAGATAGATGAACTAACTGTTCTTTAGGGAAATACTGCAGCCACCTAGATAGACGAACTAACCTGTTCTTTAGGGAAATACTGCAGCCACCTAGATAGATGAACTAACCTGTTCTTTAGGGAAATACTGCAGCCACCTAGATAGATGAACTAACCTGTTCTTTAGGGAAATACTGCAGCCACCTAGATAGATGAACTAACCTGTTCTTTAGGGAAATACTGCAGCCACCTAAATAGATAAACTAACCTGTTCTTTAGGGAAATACTGCAGCCACCTAGATAGACGAACTAACCTGTTCTTTAGGGAAATACTGCAGCCACCTAGATAGAAGAACTAACCTGTTCTTTAGGGAAATACTGCAGCCACCTAGATGAACTAACCTGTTCTTTAAGGGAATACTGCAGCCACCTAGATAGATGAACTAACCTGTTCTTTAGGGAAATACTGTAGCCCCCTAAATAGATGAACTAACTGTTCTTTAGGGAAATACTGTAGCCACCTAAATAGACGAACTTACCTTTTCTTAAGGGAAATACTGCAGCCACCTAGATACACGAACTAGAATGTTCTTTAGGGAAATACTGCAGCCACCTAGATAGAT